GGCCTGAGTCACACGTCAGTCTCCCTGTCCCCTGCTTGTGCCCTTATTACGTTACTTAACCTGTCCAAGGCATGACAGCCTCGCAGGGAGGCTGTGAGGTTTAGCGATGCTATACCCGGCACAGAGAGTATGCTCAGGCAACGGTGACACCTACCAGGGCTTCCAGGAACGGCTGAGCACAATGTGTTCTGCAGACGCACCACGCCTGTGACCCGCGCACCTTGTACACCGGTGCTTTTGCTTGACAAGTTTTCTGGCAGATGATGGTAAAGTCTTGTTCTAACAACTGTCATCTAATCTTCTGATACGAGGAAAGTGTTGGAGGAAGGGTGACTTTTATTGATGTGACGTTATCATGTATGTTACTGGCGGCACTGCCTGTTACTATTATTACTTTTTAATTTTTTGGTCATGCCGCGTGGCATGCAGGACCTTAGTTCCCCGACCAGGGATCATAGCCACACCCCTCACACTGACAGCGCAGAATCTTAACCATGGGGCTGCCAGGGAAATCCCAAGCCCTGCCTGTTATCAACCCTCTCTTCCAACTATGAATCTGTATCTTTGCTTCTTCCAGAGGCCCTAGTTCCTGAGTGAGGGCCGCCCTTGGTGGTCGGGGATGAGAGATGAGATGAGCGGGCCCTGGTGGTGGGGCTGCCCGAACCTGCACCGAGAAGGGGTCCGGTTGTAGAGCGGCCCCAGCCAGCCAGGCTCTTTCTCGCTCCCTCTCTGCAGGTGAACATGGTGGTGCTGGGCAAGCACCTGGGCATCCCCAAGCCCTTCGGGCCCGTCATCAACGGGCGCTGCTGCCTGGAGGAGAAGGTGCGGTCCCTGCTGGAGCCGCTGGGCCTGCACTGCGTCTTCATCGACGACTACTTGTCCTACCACAAGCTGCTTGGGGAGATCCACTGCGGCACCAACGTGCGCCGGAAGCCCTTCCCTTTCAAGTGGTGGCACATGGTGCCCTGAGCCGGCCCCACCCGGCGTCCTCCCGACCCCCCGCCAGGGAAGCCAGCCAGGGTGAAGAGCCTCCACCTGGCTGCCATCCTCGGGGGGGGCCTTGTGCGCTTCCCCCGAGTGCCCCGAAGCATGCTGGTCCCGGGTACCAGGACACGGGGGTGGGCACCTCACCCTCAGCTCGAGGGGGACAGCCCCCCTCGCACCCTTGCCTCTTTGCCACCCACGGCTCCCAGAGGTTCGGGAGACGGTCAGCAGCCTTAGCACGGTCCAGGATGACCACACGTGCCCTCAGCGGGCGCCCCAATTTCACTTACCCCACTCTGTTCTGAGATGACTCCCTCTGTGTTTGCACCGAGAATGCGGCCCACAGGGCCTGGGCCCTGGGTTCAGCCCACCTGTGACTGGAGTAAGCCCAGGAAGGGGGATTTGGGGCCCCTCTTTCCTTTACCAGCTATTGGTTCCTGCAGGGGACCCCCAGGCTCTAACCTCCAGGCACCCCTCAGCCATATTTGCATAGGCAAATCAGGACAGAAACACTCTGTGTCCGTGGGCCTGTTTTAAAAAGAAAAGGCATCAAAACCCCTTTTAATGCCTGACTCCACTCTCAGAAGGATGCTTGCTTCCGGTTTGGAAAGCCTTTAATTACCCATGCCGGCTGCTTCCGGCTCAAACAACACAGAGGCCAAAGCGAGGAGGCAGGCCGGGCGGGAGTGGGGAGGCCGGCCGGCCACGGGGCCCGAAGCCCAGGGAGACTCCCGGGACCTGCTTCCGCCCCCGCGGCCTCCCAGGCTTTGAAGTCTGGGCTCCAGGTGCGATGAGGCATGGCTGATCCAGATCCAGCAAGGAGGGGAGGCCCGGATGTCGGAAGAGGGTGGGCAGGACCATTGGGTCATCTCTGCGGGTGCGGTTTAATTTCCTGTAATAGCCCTTAATTATCCCCCTCCTCTCTGCAGGCAGTGGGAGGGAAGCCTTCCCAGTCTGCCTCAGCAGCTCCGAGACCCGGCATGCGGCTTGGGTTCCACCTGTGAGGAAGGCCCCAGGCAGGCCTGTGTGCCCCCCGGGGAGGGAAGGCAGTGCCTCGGGGCGCTGGCAGCCTGGCCCCGGGTGAGGGCACAGGCAGGCGGCGGCGCACGGGGCTGGCGGGGGCGGGAGGGAACGGGCCCGCCGTCCTCCCCCCAGTCTCGGGGGCCAGCTCCGAAGCTCCGAGCCCCTGGTTCCCGCTGAGACTCAGACTGAGCCTCCTGCCCTTTAAACCCTCTTAACCGCGGACCACTTGGCCATCAGAGGCGACCACACGTGTGAACCTGAGGAAAGCGGAGCTGCTCTGGTTTCGGGGCGGGGAGGTGTACCTGGCTCCTCCCCCTCCAGGAGGCTCCGTGGAACCCCATTTACACGCCCCGGTCTGATCTCTGCGCTTTCCGCTCACCATCCTGATGCCCCCGGGCAGAGGCAAGAGGGAAGGCAGCTCTGCAGCTGCCGAAGGCGTGCAGCCGGGGTTCCCGGGGAAAGGGCTGCGGGCGGGAGGGGAGCGGGCGTGGCAGAGGACGGGAGGGCCGGGCGGGCCTTCGGGAGGGCACTCGGGCTGCGAGCTCTGGAAGGGGGTGGGGCCGATGTTCCCTCTGAGAATGTTCCGGTGACCGGTCACCTTCCTTCTGATGAATAAAAATGTCAACACGCACGTCTTCCAGTGCCCGTCTCTTAGCTTCTGTTCTCTGGGCCGTGAGCAGGAGGGGAGGGAAGTCACGGTGGTGGAGATGGGGGAGTGGGGGGTGGTGGTGGGGTGCTGTTTTCAGTCCCACCCACTGTGCCATCAGCTCCTTGGCTCAACTTCCGCTGGCCATGGGCAGCTCCCACCCAGCGGGGAGAGCCCGCAGTGCCAGGCAGGCAGGCTGACGCAGCAGAATGACTGGCACATGCCCGTTGTGTGAGGTTTCCTGCTTTGCTAAGATGCTTATCAGAGGAGGGTGCGTCCTATCTCTTCACCCATCTCCCTTCCCTGGGCTGTCTCCTCCCTCTCTCAGAGGGCAGAGGGGCTGTCAGCAGGGTGGGAAAGTCCCCAGCAGGACTGAAGTTCAGGGCCACAGGCCACTGTAATTCCCTTTCATTCCCGCCTGGAAACCTACTAAGCTACGTAGCCTCAGTGGTCTGATTTCAGAGGCCTGAAAATGCCCTACATACTTGGTTCTGCCTTAAATTGCTCCTTTGACACTCGCTCCCTCTTTCACCTTATTTGAGGTTTGTTGTGGACTAAAAAGCAAAAAGTGGCTGCTTGTCAGTCACGGACACTTTAGTCTGAATAAACCACAGATCTCTTTCTAAAAGCTGGCATGTGTCCACCGGGGCGAGGAAGCACGGGTCCACCTCCAAGTACAGGGCTCCAGGCTCCGAGCAGGAGGCTGGTCCTCCCCTGCACAGCCGGCCAGGCCCAGACGGATGCCCTGGTTTGTGCATCTGTTTCCCAACTGTGTCCACAAACAGGCTAAGGCCCCGCCTGGCATTTCCTCCTGAGCTCTCACTGCTGCCCAGAGCAGGCTCAGCCCCAAGCCACGTGACAGCCAGAAAGGCGAAGCTGTCACTGGAGCCAGCATCTCTCCTTGTGAAGAACACCCTCTGCAGACCGAGTGGGGACTGGAGCGCCAGTCTCAGACTTGCTGAGGTCCCTGAACTTGTGCAAACACCCCAGCCAGGGACTCTGGGAATCAGATCCTGTCCCCACCCTGCCCCAAACTGTTCGCATCCCAGGGAGGAGGGTGGAAACCTCTATTCAGCACCTTCTGGGCCTCCCTGGGCAGGGTGTGTCCCGCTATTATCTCTGCTGGACTGGCGCCTAGCCGCATTTTCCACGGATGAGGGCACCATGAGGGTACAAAGCCCCAAGGCCACACAGCCGGTGCCTGGCGGAGCCTGGGTCCCAGCCCAAGATTCCTCTCCCAGAGACCTTGCTCCCACCATCTCAGGAGGCCAAGCGGCCTCCCTGGCCTCGGTTTCCCCACCTGACAAGTGGGAGCCTTCCTATCCTGACCTTCTCAGGTCCTCCTGGCCAGAGAGTGTTTCCAGAAGCTTTTGGCATCTGCTAATAGTAATAACAACAACACCCATCATAAAATGCTGCTGAGCCCCACACTGGGGCTCTTCTCACGCTGTCCCCATTAACCCTCTCGACGACCATTTTTCAGATGCCTAACTGAGGCACAGAGCACGTAAATGACTTGCCCCTGGTCACTCAGGCAGGAAGTAATTGTGGCAGGGCGGAGATCCAGCCTGGAAAATCCGTGCTCTTAAGAAAAAGACTGTGTTCCTCAAAGTGCCTTGACATGCTATAGTTCAGGTCAGTTCAGAAATGCTGTAGGGCCGCTTGTGAGAAACAAAACCAGGAAAACTCCGGGGCACTTCCCTGGCGGTCCGGTGGCTGCGACTTCACCTTCTGGGGCAGCGGGTGCAGCTCTGACCCCTAGTTGGGGAGCTAAGGTCGCACCCGCCTCACGACCATGAAACCAAAACATAAAATGGAAGCAATACTGTAACAGAGTCAATAAAGACTTGAAAAATGGTCCAAATCAAAAAAAGAAAAAAGACTCCAGATGCCAGGCTGCTTATCAAGTTGGAGGCTAGACCTGGGAATCTGCATTTTCATCCGTTTTCCCAGCACTGCAGAGAAGTTCCCCACTGACATCTTGTCTCTGAAAAGACAGGAATAGGGGGTGAAGAGGCTGAGCGTGGAAATCGAGAATGGTCTCCTGATCAACACCCCACACCTCTGACCCCTCCAGGGTCCTGGTGCCCTGGCCAGGTACCTAAGGGACTTAACTTTCTCTCCTTAAAGTGAGAAATTAACTGTCTGTGAGCCTGGGTGGGAACCACAGGTTCGTATGCAAACTCCTGGCTTCTTCCCGCCAATCCTGAGCTCATGGCTCTGGGAAGGGGCTGGGCTTCTGGGACTGGAGCCAATGAGCTAGCACCTGGGGCTGGGGGGGCGGGACCAGGGTCTTTTAAACCACATGCCAAGGGGCTTCTGAGGCTCAAGCCCAGGTGGAGGCCAGCATGTCTTTGCAGAGGATTGTGCGCGTGTCCTTGGAACACCCCACCAGTGCCGTGTGCGTGGCTGGAGTTGAGACCCTGGTGGACATTTATGGGTAAGAGCCGAAAGCCTGGGGAGTTGCGGGCCCCTGGTGCTGACCCCCGAGATCTCCCTGCGGGCCATCTGGAGCGCTTCCTGACTTGGCCGCCCTCTCCTGAGTCTTCCTTGGAACAGCAGCCAGGCATGAAAGGAGGTCTTTGCCTTTCTCAGCCGAGCTTCTTCAAAACCCCAGCCAGGGGGCCGTGAAGTGTGGGAGACTGGATGGGGGTGAAAGGCCCTGTAGCTCTGGGTCAGGGGCTCGGGCTCTTTCCTCTGTCCTGAAGATCTGCAGGCTGGGCTGTGGGGTCTCACTGGGCACACCAGACTAGGAAGAGGGGCACCCACACCCCCAGCTTATGAGCTCTGCAAACCAGGCATGAATCCCTTCGTAAAAAATCACTTATACTCAACATAGCGCTTACTCTGTGCCAAGCACTGCTCTAAGAGCTTGACAAGCCTCTTGAATTTAATCCTTGAACTTTAACTCCCAAACATGACTTTCACAACAACCCGAGGGGCTGTTTATTAGCTTTCTTTTGCCTGATGGATGTGGAAATGGAGGCAAGGCAGAGCAAGCTGTTGGCTCAACCACACAGCTACCAAGTGGCAGAGCCAGAGCTTAAAGCCGTTCGTGGTCGTGTTCTCTGCCACTTACAGAGCAGCACCCGTGCGTTATGCCCCTGCTCCCACGTGGCCGTGGCTGTAAAGCCAGAGGCTGGGGGAGGCCCCCGTCTTCTCTCTCCCCCAGGAAGAAGAGGAGACTTGGGGCAGGGCTTCAGAAGCTGGGCGCTGGGAACCACCAGGAAGCCAGCTACTTCACTTTTTAAGGCATCCTCAAGGGTCCTAGGTCCAAGGCTGGGCGGGGAACACTAGTACTCAGGGGGCGGAGAGGGGAAGCCCGCACCTGCCGCTCTTCCCGTCGCAAAGCTCTCCGCCCTCTCCTGAGACGAGCCTGCATTTCTCAGCCTCAGCACTGCTGGCCCGGTCATTCCTTGCTCGCTCCTTGCTGAGGGAACAGCCTGTGCCCTGGGAGATGTTAAGCAGTGTCTCTGGCCCCTACTCACCAGATGCCAGTGATCACCCCTCACTTGTGATGATCTAAAATATCTCTGGACATCGCCCAGTGTGCCCCACCTGAGAACCAGTATTTTGAACTAAGACTTTAAAAACTGGAGTGAACTTAGACGCAGAGACGGGGTAGGTCCCAGGGCACTAGAGGAGAGGAGCTGAGGAGCTAGTCTGCAGGCTAAGGGTGGGTGGGCAGTGAGGAGTGAGGAGGGGACTGGGTTGCTCCTGACGCAGAGAGAAGCCCCAGATGATGAGGAGGGGTGCCCGTGCCAGCTGGCGCCACCACCTCCCCCAGCTCTGCATGCCCGTGGGGGTGACTCACCCGCCCTGCCTACCCCATGCCCGTCGGGCAGCTGTGTCTCTTGTTTGACCTGCCACAGGAAGCCTGGGACTGGCTCCTCCCCTGCAGAACTTTCTAGAGGATGGAAGATGGCCTCGGACCATGAGTGGCAGAGGTGTCAGTGTCTTGGGGTGATGTGGATAGATGGGCCACCTTGGGGTTCACAGAGGAGGCTGTGGGTGGGACAGTCATGGGGTCGGGGGGGGAGCCTCTGGCCTCAAATGAGAGACTCTCTGGCCTCCGATAACCAGTCCGTCTCGGGGATGGGGAGGAGCACCTAGTTTCTTCATCCACATGTTCATCAAGTATTAATATTCCTTTGGGGTCTACTGTGTGCCAGGCACAGGGACGCAGTGGTGAACGAGCAGATGTGGTCTCTGACCTCTGAGAACTCTCCTGAAATTCTGGCAGAGGCTGGACCACCTCACAGGGGTGCTGTGGAAAGGATTCTTGTCTTGCAAGCAAGCAAGGGCTAGATTAATTCTAAAGTCCCTTCCGACTAGAGATGCTGTGATTCAGCAATCCTGGGTGCTCAGACTGTGGGCCAACAGGAGAAAGGCAGTGGACGTGGTGGCCGCTCTTGACTCTGCCTCCTAGGAGCTGTCTGGCCTTGGGAAAGTCACCTAACCTCCCATGTCACTCTTCATCTGTAGAATAAAGGTCATAATTATATCAGCAACGATACCTAGAGCCTGGTCCATGGCCATCACTGCCCTAAAGTGTGTGTGACTAACGCTAACTCAGTGCTGTCTTCATCCCCATTTCAGAGATGAGGAAACTGAGGCACAGAGAGGCCAAGTCACTTGCCCCACGTTACACAGCCAGGGAGGAGAGGCAGGCCCAGAACGCAGCCCGAGCACTTTGGCCGTCACGTCAAAGGGCTGTTGGGACGATTGAACGAGATTGCGCGTGTAGGGCATGTAGGCGATGCTTGGCATGTGAACATTGAATTATGGTAACTGCTGCCATTATCACCACCACCATCATCATTTTAAGTATCTTTCCTGGCTCTCTAGACAGCCTCGAGTGTCCGCAAACCATCCACAAGATGGCAGGGAAATAATCTCTGAGCCATACTGGGAGAAGCAAGAGAGGAGAAAAGAGAAATTAACATAGGCTGAGCAGTCAGGGCGGGCTTCCTGGAGGAAGAGCCTTGCAGGATGAGCAGGACCCCTGGGATCTCTAATCATGAGCGGATTAAACCCCGTCTTCCTTCTTTCCGCTGAGTTGGAGGTGGCCCAGGCTGGGTACGGAGGTTTCGCTTTCCCTGTCAGGGATTCTTCAGGAGAAGGGAACACACAGACGTGATGAGCCACGCACTGGCTTGCAGCCAGGACTGAGAATGCCATCCCTAGCTGGAAGAGCAGACAGCTCATCCCGTGCTCAGCAGAGACGGTCTTGCAGAATGAAGAGGCTTGGGGCGCCTGGGGCCGGAACCCTGCGTGCTGACCCTGGTTCCGTCACCCTCTGCTATGTCGCCTTGAGCACATTTCTGCTCCCTCTGGGGACTCAGTTTCCACAAATGTACCCCAGACAGGTTGGCATCGAAGAGTGGATTTCAGGCTCTGCTCATGGAGGCTTCTGAACCTCCTCCCCGATTTGACAAAGCAGCTCCCCTCTGTCTCCACCAGATTCTGTCTGATGTAAAGCTCTGACCTGCCTGTGCAGAGAGCAGAGTCCAGGAGGCAGATGCATCTTTAACTCTCAACTACCTGGACTTTGTAAAAGGGGTGTGTGCGGCCGGCATTTTCCAGGGGCAGGAGGACGTAGGATTAAGGAAGGGCAGTGAGTTCTGGACCGCATTCTTCTGGTGAGGCTGATGGAGCTGGGAATCTGGGACCTCACTGAACGCAGAGGGACAGCTGGTATCCTGAGCGCTCTGGGCCTTGATCGCCCCTACTTCCATGGGCCGGCTCCTTGGGGACCTTGGTGGTCATCTCATCAACCTTTCTGTTCTCAGCCACAAAGAACCTTTCCCATCAGTTTCCCAGCTCTAAAATGTCTAGCTTTGCTTTCCCAGAGGTGGAGGTCTTAAGAGCTCAGATGGAGAGGGTGGGTTTCGGTTTGCAAGGGAGTGAGTGCAGAGCTGGCTTGAGTCCTGGCTCTGTCCCTCACCAGCTGTGTGGCTTTGAGCAAGTCACCTGTCATCTCTGAGCCTCTGTTTTATTATCTGTAAGGTGGGGAAATAGTATTGACATCTGGTGGCTTGGGGAGCCGTCTGCATCATCACTGTCACCATCATCCTCACCATTAAAAGGGTGGACGAGTCTAAAGGAAGGCCTGAGCTGTCTTGATGCCCAGGACTGCGTGAGCTGACATTGAGTCCCCTCCACGCTCCCTGGGAGGGGGCGGCAGGGTCCAGCATTTCTGAGACAGCCCTCCTGAGCCATGTCCTCAGACTTCACTGGACATCCGTATGGTTTAAAAGAGCTCTGCGTGCAGAACTTATGGTTCTGGAATCTGCATTTTGAACAAGTAGGTCTGAGGTTGATGCCGTGAGGGTGACCAGTGGTCCCTGTTTGTCTAAGACTTCCTAGATCTTGGTACTGAATGTCCTGCACCCCAGGAAATGCCCTGGTCCCTGGCAAACCAGAACTGTGGGTCACCCCATCGTGTTTCCCCAGCACGCACCAGCTCCTAGGCTGTGGAGTCCTGCAGCTGCCTGAGAGGACTTGGCGATGGAGAGGGTCTTGGATGGTCCTGCGTGTGGGGGAGGGCACAGCCCCCAGCTGTGTGTGCCCAGGGCTGGGCTGGGGTGCCATCTGGAGCAGGAGGCTGCGCTCGGGGTGGCCTCACCAGAGGCAGAACTTCATCCAGGTGAGCCTCGGACCACCTTCCGTGCCCTCCAGGGGAGCCCAGATCCTCCCATCCTGACACAGGGCTTCCCCCAGCAGCCGCCGCTTCAGTCTTCCTATCATACAGCTGTGTGGGGGGCATAAACCCTGAACCAGGGGTCCAGGGCACTGCCTTCTAGGCCAGTCTCATCTGGGCCTCAGTTTCTCCGGCAGGAAAATAACAGCACGGGTTCAGGGGCCTTCAACGTGCGCTCATCCCGTTCATCATACAAACGCACTCTTCTCCTCTGCTCATCGCCCCCACTTCATCGATGCAGACACGGAGGCACAGGAAGGCCAAGGTCACGCAGCAATGAGCAGCGGAACTGGGTTTGGACCCAGGCGGCCTGGCCCCAGAGTCCCTGGCTTAGCCGCCTCACCGCAGCCCCACTGGGTCACCTCCTACTCCGGAACCACTGCTAGCGCCCATTACATAGGAATGGGCCCTTTCCCGCCTGAGTTTGCCCTTGGCCTCCGAAGGCCCCACTTGGAAACCCCTTCCCTTTAGCCGTGTCTCCTCCTTGTCCTTAGTTCCTTCCTCTGTGAAGCTTCCCCAGACACCCCAGTCCCGGGCTCAGCCTGCTCCCATATGCCTGCCTCCTATGCTCTAATTTACCCTAATAACCCCTTCCCCCTTCCTGGCTGGTGGTTTTGCAAGACTGCCCCATCTATTATCGTGTTTGAGCCTCATGATTGCCTGCGGTTGGCCCAGTGGGTGTCATTACCCCGCTTTAAAGGCAAGGTTACAGAGCCCACGGAGGCCAGTGATCTGTTCAAGGTCACTTGGGTGTAGGGCAGCCCGGCCTGGTCTAAACCTGCATCCTGACCCTGGCCCTGGCACCCCTGAGCCCCTGGCTTCTTTGGGACCCTCCTGCACAGGGCTGCTTCCGTCTTCATCTGGGGTCCCCTGTAGCCTCCCACGGGGCCTGGGCTGGGAAGGTACAGGGGAGCTGGGCTGAAAGACCCCAAACCAGAGTCTGCAGCCTGGGAACTGGGTAGGTGTCCTGTGAGAAGGGCCACCCAAGGTGTGCCGCTCTAGCTGGGGGGGCCTGGGGCCCGAGCAGCACCTGGGCTGTGGGGGCCGCCAGGAGCCCTTCATGCCCGGGCCCAGCTGTGTGAGTCTTCGTTTCTCTGGCTTCCTTACCTGTCTCTCCGTCTCTGTGTCCTTACGCCTCTCTGTGCAGGCCCTTCCTGTCCCCCGATGGTCTGGCTCGCAGACCCAGGGCACAGCAGAATAGAGGTCTGGAAATGACAGCTTGGGGAGTAAGTTACCAGATAAAGCCCAGGACACTTAGTTAAACTGGAGATCTAAATAAACAATGAGTAATTTTTTAGTCTAAGTATGTCCCAAATATTGCACGGGATATACTTATGCTAAGATAACTGTTTGTTGGTTACCTGAAATTCGAGTCTGACTGCATGTTCTATATTTTATTAAATCTGGCAGCCCTACCTGGGAGGAGACACAGGTGTGTCAGCTCCTCCTAGCTGGTGAGGACACCTGGCAGGCTGAGCCCCGGAGTGGGACCCGCCTGATGGAGTACAGTTTGGGCTTCGTATATTTCTTTCTATAAAGGGAAGCTGTGCTGAGGAGTGCCAGGATCATGCCTGCAGAAGAGTGGAGGAAGCCTGCTTTCCTCCATGCGGAGGCAGAGGAGAGAGAGGGCCTTGGGCGGGAGGCACTGTGGCCAGGATGCAGCTTGGGCGTGCCTCTTGCCCAGCCTGAGCCTCGGTTTCCCCCACATTAAATGGGACTGTGCAGAGGATTAGATGAGTTGGTATTTGGGAAGGCTTAGCCAAGCCCACCATGGTAATTGTGCAGGGGAGGGGCCCTGAGGGCTTCAATTTCTGTCATTACACCCGGGTAAGAATGTGGACTCAAGAGCCAGGAGGCCTGGATTTGGATCCCAGTCCTGCCACCTACTGGCTCCAGGACCTTGGACAGTTTACTTTAACCTCAGTTTTCCCATCTGTAAAATGGGAGATAGTAATAGTACCTACCTGGGGCTTTTTAATGGATTACATGACAATACACGTAATGAAACTTGAATATGGCTGGCACAGAGCAAGAGCTCAACCAGCGTCCGTTACCGCTGTCCCCCTGCTGGGTGGGTGGATATGCCGCTTCCTCCAGGAAGCCTTCCAGTTCCTCTCCCCCCAGCAGCCTCTCCCTATGTGATCCCACTGCCTCCTGACCCATCTGGTTGCCCTGGGCAGGGCTGTCCTCAGCTCTCCAGCTGGCTTGACGGCTCTGGGGCAGCGGATGCTTCTTCCTGCGTGCACATGGGCACCCTACAGACCACCAGGAGGAACAGACTAATTTCAAACAAGACTCCCAGAGCAGCTGAGCTGGGGGCAGGAAGTCCCAGGGCCACTGGACAGCATGGACTTTTTAACGCTACCGTGAATACCCGGAGAACTCACAAGGGAAATGTTAATGAACACAGAACCTTGAAATATTAGATGATGTATATCTGTGTGGGGCCCAAGTTTGACTCCTAGGAGCTTGCTGGAAGCATCTAAGAAGCCTGGGGTAGTCTGGGAAGGCTTCCTGGAGGAAGCAGAGTTTGAGCCGGAGTTGAAGCACTGGCTTCTGTCCTTCCCAGCTCCGTTCCTGAGGGCACAGAGATGTTCGAGGTCTACGGAACCCCTGGCGTGGACGTCTACATCTGCCCCAACGTGGAGAGGGACCGGGAGCGTGCGGATACCCGGCGTTGGCACTTTGACGTGGGCTCACAGATCATCGTGGTCATGAACTCTCCCAGCAACGAGCTCAACGACAGTCATGTGAGTGCGTCCCCTTGTCTGGGGGGTGACTGGGGGTGGGGGGATGACCCAGCTCACGAGGGCCCAGTGCCCTCTCTTATCCAGAATGCAGGGTAACCCAGAGGGCAAGGGCCCAGCTCTGGAACCGCCAGCTCTGCGACATACGAACACAAACTGTGGGTCTGCTGGCCACTCTCATCTCCTCCTGCAGCCTCAGTTTCCCCATCTGTGGCTGCGGGTCGATTCGTAGTCCCCATTACTAGGAATGCGAGAGAGAAAGCAGAGGTGGAGAGGGGAGCAGCTGCCCCGGGGGCCCCTTCCCTCGGGGCCTCACCTTCCCCTAGTCCGCCGTGTTCCTGACCCTCCCCCTTCTCAGGCAGGGTGCCTGCCCTCCTCTCCTCTCTCTGCCCATTCAGCCAGAAGAGCTAGTCTAACAAGGCCGGGCTGGAGGCAGTGTTCTGGCCCCTGGGGAGGGGACATTTAAGAAATGGGGGAGATGGGATGGTCCATGAACTTGGAGCAGAAGACGCCCCTTAAAGGGGCAGTGGGAGTCAGGTCTGTCGTGCAGGCGGCAGGTTCCCGCTCCACATCAGGAGCGAGGTTTCGGGAAACTGGCCCTTTAAGGAGCACTGACTGTGTCCAGCCCTCACGACGGCCCTCAGTGGCGGGGTCCGATGCACAGGTCACAGGGGTGGCCACTGGGGTTCAGAGGAACCGTCCCGGAGCCACAGAGCTGGTCAGTGGGGGAGCTAGAACTCAGGGGTCTGACCTGCCTGGCTCCCAGGGACACGCTCCCTCCGTCAGCCCTGCGTCGTTCCCACCCAGGGATCCGAATTAGCCTATCCCGGGAGCTGCTTGCGGCAGGTGGGGCAGGACTCCACGAATCCAGTTCACCAGGCGCCAGACCAAGAAGGGGCGTGGCTTACCGGAAGTCACGTGGTTGGTGATCAGTGAGTTGGGGAGGGTCAGGACAGAGGCCCCCGGGGCCGGGCGAGAAGCTGGGCCAGCCTGCGTTGGGCGCCCAGCACTGATCCAGAGACGGTGCAGAAGCTGCCACTCTGAATTCCTGGGCCCCGAGGACCACAGGGACTGAGCAGGGTCATCAGAACGTCCCTGCCTTTGTCCGGGGTCCTGGTAATCGTGTGCCTGAAGCCAGCATCCCTGCTGGGGCTTGACACACGGGGGTTTGCAGCTGCAGGATTTCGGGGCCCCCAGGACTGAGGAGGGATGGGTCTCAGTAAGTTCTTGAGGCCCCTGGGAGAGGACATCAGAGCCGGAGAGCTGAGGGACCAATTCAGGAGGGAATGTCCCAGCGGAGGGCGGAGGGTGAAAGGGCTCGATGCCTCCGCCTGGAGTTCGCTTTATCATCACCGTCCTCAGCCTCACCTTTAGCAGCTGTCGGGCGTGTGCTGTGGGCTCGGTGCCAGACGTCCCACACTTTCCTGCTCTAATCCGCACACCCTGTCATCAGTCCCATGGAGCCATTATCAGCGCCGTTCCACAGCGGAGGAAAGGGAGGCCCAGACGGCAGAGTAACTCTCCCAGGGTATCCTCTCCGAGCCCAGGCCGTCTGACTCAGGAACGCTGCACCGGTGCATACATCGCGCCCCCTGCCCTCTAATAACAAGAGCTGGTATTTCTTGGGCACGTCCTACGAGACCAGTCTTCTACACGGATCGTTTCAAATCTGAAGCTCCGTCCTCTGATTGCAGGGACCTGTACAAAGCTCATATTGCAGACGAGCAGACTAAGGCAGCTCGAAAGGTGAAGGGCCTTGGCGGGGGTCACAGAACTCAAGTAAAGGCCTGTCCAAATCCCACAGTTAGGGTGGCGTCCCTACACCTGCCCAGGCCAAATCCCACAGTTAGGATGGTGTCCCTACACCTGCCCAGTCCAAATCCCACAGTTAGGATGGTGTCCCTACACCTGCCCAGTCCAAATCCCACAGTTAGGATGGCGTCCCTACACCTGCCCAGGTCAAACTCCTCATTTTCTTTTTTTAAAATGTACTTATTTATTTGGCTGCACCGGGTCTTAGTTGCAGCACCAAGCGCCTCATTTTATGAATGGCGAAACTGAGATCCAAAGGGGAACAGGGGCTTGCTGAAATCACACAGGAGTCAGCAGCAGCGCTGGGATGTCTCCATGGAATCCCTCAGAAATAGTCCCCATTTTACAGATGAGCTAACCGAGGCACGGAAGAATGAGTGGCAGAGAAGGCGAAAGGAAGAGCTGAGTCGGTGCTGGACAGAGGTTCCTGGGAACTCCCCCCGCCCTCCTTGCCCGGTCCCCCAAGACCTGTGCTTTGGGGCCGGGCTCCTAGCTTCAGCCAGCTTGACCCTGGGCCCATCTCTCTACAGATTCAGATTTCCTACCATTCCAGCCAAGACTCCTCGCCCCTGGCCTACGCGGTGCTCTACCTCACCTGTGTGGGTAAGTGGGGGCCTCAGCCGAGGGCAGAGTGAAAGTGGTGCTGGGCTGGATAAACACCAGCGGAACAAACAGAGAACCAGAACACAGACCCAGGCGCAGGTGGTGTTCCCGTGATGCTCGATAAACTCGGCTCCCCACCGTGTGTCACACTCAAAAGCAAACTTCAGATGGATTTTCTGTATGACACAGGGAACCCAACGCCGGTGCCCTGACAGCCTCGAGGGATGGATGGGAAGGGAGGTGGGAGGACTCCGGTTTAAGAGGGAGGGGCAGATGTATACCTCTGGCTGACTCATGCTGATGTGTGGCCGAGACCATCACAATATTGTAAAGTATTTATCCTCCAGTTAAAAATAAAATAAAAATTTCAAAAAACCTCCAGGTGAAAGTCAACATCTTAAAGTTTTAGAAGAGAATGTCTCTTCAACTTCAAAGTAGTCAGAAGTCTTCTTTAACAAGGCAAAACAAAAGCACAGGCCCTTGGGGCAAGATTGATAAATTAGACTTTACTGAAGTGGAAATCTTCTAGCCAACCGAGGACAAATACAAAGTCAGACTGCAGAGAAGCAATTTGCAGTGCGCATGCCTGCATCAGTGTTTGCAGGTAATAGAGAATGCTGATCAATAAGAATCAATAGAATCAATAAGAACAATTAATAGAAATAAGCCAAAAACAGAAACCAGCGAATCACAGTGGAGAAAACCTGAGTGCTCAGAACCCAGATGAAAAGATACTCAACTGCCAAGGATGTGGGACCGGAAGGTTAGCAAGAGCGTTGAAAACGCTGTCTGCAGGAGGCATTTTTAGAAGCAGAACCGCTGAGTACAGGGAATGAACATTTCGGTTGTGATAGATACTGCCAAATGGCTCTCCAAAAAGGCCTTACCTTCTTACACACCTGCCAACCGCTAGGGCAGGGTTTTGCCAACACTGTCCATTTCCAGCCTTTTCTGTTTTTGCCAGTCTGAGAGGTCAGCGTCTCTTTGTTGCTTTCATTTGCCTCCCTTTAGTTTGGACTGAGGTTGGGGGTCTCCCTGCCTCCCCCTCCCCAGACACACACCCACACCTTGTTTACTGGAAAATACACATACAGAAAAATACGTATGTATTGGTTTGGCCAAAAAGTTTGTTTTGGTTTTCGTAACATCTTATGGAAAAACCTGAACGAATCTTTAGGTCAACCCAATGTGAATGTGTGTGTTGGCGGGGGTGGGGGGTGTGGATACAGGAATAGTTAGAAAGCAAACTCTTGAGCAGCCATCACCCAGGTCAAGAAATAGAACAGGGAACATGACCAGCACCCCAAAGTACCCCCAATCCCCTCTCTGATCGTAACTCGCTCCTTCCCTTACGGTAACCACTGTCTTGTGATAAATGTTTCCTTTCCTTTCTTTATGGCTCTGTCATCTGAATAGGCACGCCCAGATCCTACAGTCTGTTTTGGCTCTGTCATCTGAATAGGCACGCCCAGATCAGACAGTCTGTTTTGGCTCTGTCATCTGAATAGGCACGCCCAGATCCTACAGTCTGTTTTGGCCTGCCTTTGAGCTCTGTCTGCTGAGGTCACACTGTATACACCTTTAGCCCCACCTTACGTTTGTGAGACTCATTCCCTTCTTGTATGGTGGTTGAGTATCTTTTCACATATTTAAAAATCATTTCAATTTTTTTTTCTCTCCCTTGAAGGTTTCATGTGTACTGTAAAACCTCTCCCACTTTCTAGGGAGAGTGGTTAAGAAGGTGGGATGGAGGCGGGGATACGAGGGGAAGGTGAGGCTCAGAGCCACACAGGCAGTAGGTGCCAGAGTCTAGATTTACATCCACGGTTGTCTGACACCAAAACCCAGGCTCACTGGCCCATCCCTGGGAGACAAGGGAGCTTCACAGAGACCTAGAATGTCCCCGGCAACCCAGGTGCAGGGCAGAGTGTCCCCCAGAGAGTGAGGGCTATAGGGGTGCAGAAGAGGGAGAATTCAGGGAAGGCTTCCTGGAGGGGGCAACATTTGACCTCGGTTTTTGTTCTGACGCTGCATCTTCCCCAAGGCCTCTTTCCCGAGCCCAGGGAGGGAGGCTCCAAATGCTCCCACCTTTGGGCGCTGTCTTCTTGGAAATGACTTCCATTTGTCTGGCCCCAGAATGGGCCCTGAGATTGAGGCTAAAACGTGGAGGTCATGGGCCTGTGCTGGGCCCTTGGGTGCCTTGTCGTGACTGACCCTTTGCTCTGTCCTTGCAGATATCACCCTGGATTGTGACCTGAACTGTGAAGACAGGGACAGGGACAGGGACTTTGTGGACAAGGTAGGCTATCTCTGCCAGGACCCAGAAAGGGGCATGGAGTTTGGAGCTGCTCTAGGCTGGGTTAAAAGGGGTGAGGTCATCAGAGGTATCCCCCTGCCTCCCAGCTGATGTCAAGGCCAGTTGGAGCCAACCCGGGAACGGCTGGGGATCTTCTTTCACTGGCAGAAAAAACATCATCAAGGATTTTTAAGCACATACATGCCCAGCCCTGAGCTAGGTCTCCCTTTGTGGGGACAAGTCCTTCTGGATTTTCAATCTAGGTTGGGGGTTGGCAAACTTTATTTTTGTAAGAGCAAGACAGTAAGTGTTTTAGGCTTTGCAGCCCATCTTGTCTCTGTTGCAGTGACTTGATTCTGCCAGTGTAGAATGAAAGAGCTTTATAGTCAATATGGGGGAAAAGATGTGTCAGTGTTCCAATAAAACTTTATTTAGAAAAACAGGCGGTAAGCTAGATTTGTAGCATGCGGACCCCCTAATCTATGTGAAAAGGAAATCTATCAAGTTTGAAACTATAAAAGAACTTTGGGCTGAATTGTGGTGGCACCAAAGACGTTGTGAGTTCAGAGGAGGTCACGTTGGGCTTTATGGGCAAGGAAGAAATCCACGGTGAGCTGGGCTCCAAAGTTACGCAAGAGGGAGGGCATCTGAGGTGGAAGGAGCAGCAGGAGCCGAGGAGGGGAGATGGGTCTCATCCTCAGAAAGCTGCCTCTTGGAGAAGAGGATGCTGGCTGGAGGCGTGACACAGACAGCCCTGAAAGGCTGTCGTTTGAGCTTGACGGTGCGAGTGGCAGGAGCGGGAGCGTGTCTTTCGGCTCTGGGCAGAGGGAAGGGGAGGGTGAGGATCGTGGCCGGGAGAGAGCTGGGGAGGGGGCGCAGGCTGGCTGGAGCCCCCCTCACCGGCTGTGCTTTGCCGTTGGCAGCGGCAGTGGGTCTGGGGACCCGATGGGTACGGAGCCATCCTGCTGGTGAACTGTGACAGGGACAGTGTGCGCTCTGACGACCAGGACAACTGTGACCGCCACGTGCGCTGCCTGCAAGGTGAGGGGGCGCCGGGCCACCGCTCAGCTACCCCGCCCGGAGTCTCACCCACAAGGGCGGCTCTGGAGGCAGAGCTTGGGGCCAGAGGTTTAGCTTCCAGGCGCGCCTTAATGTTCCTTAAAACCTGCCCCTCCCCAGCACCCCAGCGCCAGTGGGCACCCCTGCCAGGGCAGAGCTCTGGAGAGGAGCAGCCTCATCTTCCTCCCCCTCCAGGCTTGGAGAGAGCTAACGCTGAGCACCTACTGTGTGTCGGAGCCTTTACCCAAATTCTCATCTAAGCATCCACGCGGGAGGGCGGCCTGCCCCAAATTCAGAGATGACGATGTTGATGCTCAGAGGTCAGGGGATCCCCGAAGTCACCCAGTCAGCCTGCAGCAGGTCCGAGGTTCCTGTAACCCCAAATCCAGCCTCCTCCCCACTGGCATTGCTGGCCTGGATTTCAGAGATGCCCCACATTCCCTGGTAGCTCAGCTGGTAAAGAATCTACCTGCAGTGCAGAAGACCCAGGTTTGATTCCTGGGTTGGGAAGATCCCCTGGAGGAGGGAAAGGCTACCCACTCCAGTATTCTGGCCTGGAGAATTCCATGGACTATAAGGTCCATGGGGTCGCAAAGAGTCAGACACGACTGAGCACTTTCTACATTCTAAGTCCATCCCGAGCCATGTGCACGGCCCCGTGAAGGATGCCGGGTCAGTGTCCTGGGTGTGGGTCAGGGGCTTCACCCACGAGATGCCCAGAGCTACTCTGAAAGTTGGCAGGATCATTTCAGAGACTGCCATGCTGAGGCTCCGGGAGGGAGGGGCCGGCCCCGGGCAGCAGCGAGTGACGCCAGGACCGAGAGGAGAGCCCTGACCCGCCTGCTGCCCGGACGGCCTTCTCACCGCTCGTTGCTCCTGCACACCCACCCCGGGCCAGGCAGCGGGCTGGCCGCCCCACGCCTCTGTTTATGGGCAGAGCAGGAACGGAGGCTGAGAGGGAAGGAACAGCTCACTGCTCACTCGCTTACGGACATGCTCCTGCTTTGGTCCTCGTGACTCTCAGTATTTCCACGGGGTGGGCAGAGCTGGGGCAGAGACCCAGGCCTTGGCACCCTCTGCCCTGGGGAGGGGCTGGGCTGCCGGAGTCCCCCTGAGTCTCTGCCTTGTGTCTGGCTCCCCAGACCTGGAAGACATGTCTGTGATGATTCTGCGGACCCAAGGCCCTGACGCTCTGTTTGACGACCACAAACTCATCCTCCATACCTCCAGCGCTGACGCCGAGCGGGCGCGGGTGTTCCACGCCTGCGGTGAGTTGATGCCCGTCCTTCCCTACCCGGGTGGCAGGGGATGCTTAGTTTCCCCACCCAGGCCAGGGTGCAGGCTGTGCTCTGGCTCTGGGGCCTCCTTGAGGGCCCAGAGGAGGAAGCATCAGATGCACGAGTTTCACGAATGGTTGCCTGGCGTCCCTGGCACAGCCGTGCCCGAGATGGTTTCAGCAGATGAATGCATTTTTAAATATATTTTAAGCACGTTTAAAAATTTTGATTATCAAAATTTTCAAGCATACCCAGAAGCAGAGAGAACACTGAAGAACCCCTATGTGCCAACCACTCAGATTCAACAAGGATTGCTATTTTGCTTCTCTTACTTGATCTATCCTTTCTTGTTTGGTGGAGTGTTTTAAAGCGAGTCCCAGGCACCCTGGCTATTTGCCTCTGTTCAGTCTGCATCTCCCGTCCACCCCGATAAACCCCAAACTATTGCTTTTCATAGCTACAATGTCATTATCACGAATGCAAGCAAGGATGTATAGTACCTTCAAAAAATGCAAATATGCATTTGGGTTTTTCTGTAATATGTAACTTTTTGGGCAACACAATACGAGTAAATAATACGTTCATTTTAGAAATACAGAAGTATGTAAAGTTAAAAATGAGAGTTTCTACCCAACTCCAAAAGTTGACTCTTAAAATGTGTCCCGTTAACCATTTGGTATGTTCTTCCTGACATTTGTTTTACACGCACTGCACGTGCCTGGCGAGTACGTGAGCGTGTGCGCGCGCGTGTCCACATTCTGCCTCCGCATGGTTTCTCTCACCGAGAATTACATCCTACACGTCTCTGTGTGTTTGTTTAGCTCTGGTTTGCTCTCCCCCACAGTCGCATCGTATTTCAGAGCATAGAGGTGCTGTAACTGATCTGGTCCCGTGAACGTGCCATTTGTGCAGTGTTTCGATTTTGCAGAAATCTCAGTTCCTGGAGGGCAGGGACCGTGCTCACAGCGGTGTCCTGAGTCCTGACCCACACTGCTTAGGTGCATACTAGTGAAAGTGAAGTTGCTCAGTCGTGCCCAACTCTTTGCGACCCCATGGACTGTAGCCCACCAGGCTTCTCAGTCCATGGAATTTTCCAGGCAAGAATACTCGAGTGGGTTGCCATTTCCTTCAACAGGGGGTCTTCCAAACCCAGGGGTCGAACCTGGGTCTCCCGCACTACAGACAGATGCTTTACTGAAGCCCCATGGTGCATAGTAGGTGCTCAGTAAATACCCCATGAACACCTTCTACTTAGGTTTTATAGGAAAGACACCTACCTAGACATGGGCTTTCTGGTTAGGGGTAAACATTGCTTTCCTAGATGCCACCAAATTGCCCTCTGAAAGACCTGAGCACTGGCCTTAGAAAGGAGTGCCCTCCCTGCCCCACCCTAGACCTGCCCGCCCTCAGTGTTAAGCCTCTCTCGCCTCTGTGAGTGGGAGGTGAGAAGCGGGGGTGGCTGTGTGGCTTCCATTGTGTCGGGGAGGTTGCGCGCTCCTTCCTGCTCCCGGGGCCCCCTCGCAAGGCCCTTCTGCCCCCGCCAGGCCCCGCGGACTCCTGCGAGGCGTACCGGCACGTGCTCGGCCAGAACAAGGTGTCATACGAGGTGCCGCGCTTCCACGGGGACGAGGAGCGCTTCTTCGTGGAGGGCCTGTCCTTCCCCGATGCCGGCTTCTCGGGGCTCGTCGCCTTCCACGTCACCCTGCTGGACGACTCCAACGAGGTAGGGGCGGGACAGGACAGGGTGGGCAACGGCCTCCAGCCCCAGGAGAGGCAGGCGCCCCCGGCGTGGAGGATCCTGGCCACCCGCTGCTGTCTCTCCAGAAACTGAGGAGCTAGCAGCTCGCTCGAGCCCACGGTGGTCCTTGACCCAGCCAGGCGCTGGGCCCCGAGGCCAGTCTGCTTTCCCTCTGGCCTCAACCTGCAGGGTTTCTCCGAGTCCCCCATCTTCTCCGACACCGTGGTGTTCCGCGTGGCCCCCTGGATCATGACGCCCAGCACGCAGCCACCCCTGGAGGTGTACGTGTGCCGGTGAGCGGGGGCGCCGGGTGTCCCCGCCACTGCTGGCTGCTCTGGCCCCTGCGTCTGCCGGCGTCCTGAGCACTCTCTCTGGGCTCGTCTGCAGTGTGCGCAACAACACGTGTTTCGTGGACGCGGTGGCTGAGCTGGCCAGGAGGGCCGGCTGCAAGCTGACCATCTGCCCGCAGGCCGAGAACCGCAACGACCGCTGGATCCAGGTACCGCGGCCACTGGGTCGTGAGTGACACCAGCCTGCAGCGGGAGGGGCCCCTCCAACGCAGGGGCTGCTGGGAATATCCAGGAGGACCGGGGCTGCGTCCGCCCTCCCCAGGGCCCTGCTCTTTCTAATTCTAGACCCAGAGCTCTCCCCCCTCTCCAGAACCTTCTGGAGACTCAGGCACACTGACGTTGAATATGACATCCATTCACCCACAGGATCTGGGCTAGGTACTGGGGGCAGGGCGGAGGGGATGGCAGAGGTAGGGGCGCCCGCTCCTGCCCTCAATGGCCTGGACCAGTGATCCTCCATGAAAGGTCGTTTTTGCCCCAGGGATGCTGCCAAACATCCCACAATACACAGGACAGCCCCCACGACAGAGAATTGTCTGGTTCCAAGTGTCAAGAGAGCTGAGGCTGAGAATCCCTGGCGCAGAGAATGATTGGGACAGAAATCCCTGCTCCAACTGTCTGAGATGGAGCAGGGGTGCTGGCAAAGTCCCAGCGGGGCCTGGAGGCGGGTGCAGTCACCCTTGTCTGTGAAGGAGATCAGTGAGGACTGCCTGGAGGAGGCATTTGAGCTGCACCAGATTTGGTGAATGGATATGACTTGTGTGGTTTATCGAGCACTCCCTGCAGGCCATGCCTAACATCATTTCATCTTCCTGACAACGCCCTGTCAGTAAACAAGGAACTCTCAGTGAGGCGGTGCTGGAACTCAGCGAATGGTGGTCCTGGCAGAGGACTGGTCTGTGCAAAGACCCAGAGGTGGGAGATGTGAGAAGGGACATCAGCTGTTCTCTTTGGCCAGGATCAAGCTTCTGTGAGGGCTTCCCAGGTAGTAGTAGTAAAGAACCTGCCCGCCAATGTAGGAGACAGAAGAGACGCCAGTGCGATCCCTGGGTCGGGAAGGTCCCCTGGAGCGGGGCATGAAAACCCGCTCCAGTATTCTTGCCTGGAGAATCTGAGGAGCCTGGTGGGCTATAGTCCATAAGGTCGCACAGAGCTGGCACGCCTGAAGTGACTTAGCATGAACGCAAGCTTCTGCAAAGGGCAAGAGCTGAGGTGAGAAGCCTTGAACACCAAGCTAAGAAGCTTTCATTTCAGTTGGAAGTTCGTCCCAGGGGTTGTTTCAGGACGGGACTCCAGGGCAAGAACAGGCTTGGTCTGGATCCTGGCTATGCTGTTGACTTACTGTATGCCCTTGGGCAAATAACTAGACCCCGCTGTTCCTCACTTTCACTGGTTGTGATAAGCGATAATCATGGTGCCTCCACATAGGCGTATTGTGAGGTCTGCAGGAGTTAGCACTCGTAAAACCCTTGGAGCAGGGCCGGGGACATTCTAGTGAGCTTCTCGCTGGACACGCAGTCCATCAGTACTGGGTTATCTTTGCCTCCAGGACCAGAGGGCTCAGGACTGACCTTGGCGTGTTACGTGCTTGAAAGGAGGCAGGTCTGTGCCTCCTGAGGCCGCCTCGGCCCTGCTCACTGTCGGTCCCCCAGGGCCGCACGTGGAGGCCACGTGTGATGGCTGGTGCCCGGCAGCCTCTTTGTCCAACTCAGGCCACCCCGAAGCTCTCTCTGTCCCCACTCTCCTGTGACCCAGCACAGGGACACCCCGAGGCCATTCTCGTTCATTCCTGACCCGCCTTGCTCTGTGGCCCCAGGTGAGCAGACCCCCCACCCGAACCTCCAGCCCTTCCTCCAGCCAGCAGGTATCACGGCCTCTGCCCGCCTCAGTCCTCAAAGGGTAGAGCAGGCGTGAGGCAGAGTGAACAGTCTTCCCCAAAGTCCTGAGTGCCAGTCAAGGGCAGTAAGCTGCTGACTGTCCACCGCTGGTGTCCCCCGGGTCTGCAGGACGAGATGGAGCTGGGCTACATCCAGGCGCCGCACAAAACCTTCCCGGTGGTCTTTGACTCCCCCAGGAACGGCGAGCTGCAGAACTTCCCTTACAAAAGAATCCTGGTGAGTGGTCGGGGCCACAGCTGGGCCTGCAGGCCGAGGGGCTTTGCCCTGAGGGCCAGACTGGGAGCTGTGCTCTTCAGGGATGGGAGCAGGGTTGCCAGGTAAAATACAGGAGAGGCTGGGTTAAGGCTGAACGTCAGCTAAACCATGAGAACTGTTTTAGCATAAGTGTGTCCCATATACTGCATGGGATGTACTAAAAATACATTTATTGTTTATATGAAATCCAAGTTGAACTGACCATGCTCTATGTTTGTTCATATCTGGCAGCCCCAGACGGGGAGGGGAGGCAGGAGCCTGCAGCTGTCAAGAACATAGACTTCGGGGTGGGAGGTGGGAGGGAGGTTCGAGAGGGAGGCACGTATGTCTGCTTAGGGCTGCTTAACGCTGACGGCAGAAACCAACGTGGCATTGTGAAGCAATTATTCTCCAAAAAAAAAAAAGGCTCTGGAGTCAGAACAACCCGGCTCCGGCTCCCACATGCTATGTGATCCTGCATGTGATTTCCCCTCTCTGAGCCTCAATTTCCTTATCGGTAAAAACATGTTAGCCTAGGCCTCACAGGTGTTTGTGAAGCTTCTTCATGCCGATGCAGAGAAAGCACAGACATAGATAGCTGGTTTTATTATTGTAATAAAATAAAGAGGGTGTCTTCAAATGGACTTATCTATGAGGCAGAAACAGACTCACAGACATGGAGATCAGACTTGCGGTTGGCAAGGGGACGCGGAGAGGGGAGGGGAGGGTTGGCAGTTTGGGCTCAGCTAATGCAAGCTGTGATACATAGAATGGATAAACACAGTCCTAGTGTATAGCACGGGGAACCACGGTCAGCATCCTGTGATGAACCATAGTGGAGAATAAGGAAAAGAATACATATATGTAATTATACACACACATATACATGTAGAACAGAGTCACTGTGCTTTACAACAGAAATTAACAAACCACCGTAATCACTTCTATAAAAAGGGAGAGAACGTGTCCTAACGAGCCTCTCCTGAGAAAAAAAGGAGACCCCTTGGTGCCATAGAGACAGGAGGGCTCCTCCCACCCCTCGCTGGGTCACGAAGGTGGGAGGAGCTCTCTCCTGGCCTCAGGATTGTCTAAATTCCTCCTAAGAGACGGCCCTGGGGAGTTGTCTCTTTCCCTAGAGTTGAAAGCTGAGGCTCAGAGGACTGTCACCCGCCCCTTAGGCCCCGAGAACAGGCCCCTCTAGAGCAGCAGACACCCGCCCAGGGGTGAGACGGACAGGAAGGCCACGCAGAGGACAAAGCAGTGGCCACAGCCCCGGGCTGCACATCTCACGGGGAGCGTGGGGGCCGCCTGGCCCTCTCTGCTGATCCCTGTGACCAGGGAGAATAACAGGCTCCGAAATGGCAGCAGGGCTGGAGGGCTCTGTGTGTCCTGGATTCGGCAGGCATGAGCATCTGAGCGTGCAGGAAGTAGCAGTCAGGTCAGATGTCCATCTTTGACTCAGTGTTTCTATCTGAAGAATGGGTGGCCACTCTCACCCCATCTTTAAGGAGCTTAGAGCCCAGCAAGCAGGTTCAAGTGCTCCCTGGTGAGCCTGCCCACCCCGGGGCTGAGTCTCTTTCCCCACCCAGGGTCCAGATTTCGGCTACGTGACCCGGGAACCACGAGACAACTCTGTGAGCGGCCTGGACTCCTTCGGGAACCTGGAGGTCAGCCCCCCTGTGGTGGCCAACGGGAAGGAGTACCCCCTGGGGCGGATCCTCTTCGGAGGCAACTTGCCTGGGTGAGAGACGGAGGGTGGGTGGTGATGGTGGCTGGGGGAGGGCTGTTCTGCTCCTGGAAGAGAAGCAGAGAGGCCCAGAGGTGAAATGGCAGTCCAGGCTGTGCTGGTGCTGGGAGCAGAGGACTGCCCCCCCAGACGTCGTCCACTCTCATCTCAGGGGGTCTGAGACGCCCTGAGCAAGGGGACCCGAGAGCTCATTCAGTCCAACACTCTCGTTTTACAAGTGGGCCCAGAGGGGGTGAGTCACCTGGGGAAGTTCACACAGGAGGCAGAGTTACGACTAGACTTGGGTCTTCTGATCATAAAATAAATCCATGCTGATACCAGTGAATAATTATAGGAGAAATGTTTTAAGTCTCAACAGTCCCAGGAGAAATTGCATTTAAATCAATGATTGTTCACACTGTGATGTAAATGACTAATATCAGGTCTTTCCCTGAGAGCAAAAGGAAGGTGTAGGACATGAAAACCGAGACAGCAGTGAGACAGAGAAGGGCAGAGTGACTGTGTCTTGTTCATCATACGACACAGGGGTGCTGAGGGGAAACAGAAGGAACCCTGTGACGATGGTTATTTGCTACGGGAATAGACCAAGACAGCGGAGGAGGCAGTGGCACCCGCTCCAGTCCTCTCGCCTGGAGAATCCCGTGGACGGAGGAGCCTGGGGGGCTGCCGTCTCTGGGGTCGCGAAGAGTCGACACGACTGAGCGACTTCACTTTCACTTTTCACTTTCACGCACTGGAGAAGGAAATGGCAACCCACTCCAGTGTTCTTGCCTGGAGAATTCCCAGGGACGGGGGAGCCTGGAGGGCTGCCGTCTCTGGGGTCGCATGGAGTCGGACACGACTGAAGTGGCTCAGCAGCAGCAGCAGCAGCAGACTGAGACAGAGCCAATCAAATTCAGCGAAGTGTTTAGAACAGACTTGTGATCAGATAACAGGTGAAACCAGAAGCTTTGAAGAGGACCACCCATCCTCAAAGACGTCATCTCACAGACGCAGGATGTTTGGGCCATGCCATTTGATACTTTTTCAGAAGGCAAGAGAAACATGGGGTTTGAGTTCATGAAAATAAAATGCTGGGACAAGACCACCATCTTGCCCTGCTGATGTGTGAGAAGGCAAGGCTGCAGCGAGAGAGGCGTCGGTTAGACCTCAGGGAGAACTGCGCGGCGGGGCTGAGTGTGGGGGTGACGTCTGCTGCCTGGAGAACACGAGGCTGGGGTCTGAGGGTGGGCCCGAGGACATGCCTGGATGGGAGGCCTGGGTGGTGAGCTGTGGTTGACACGCCTGTGTCTGCCTCGTAGAGAGCTCACCTTGAGTGTAACTTAAATATATACTTATTATCTTTCCTGATCACAAAGGCAGCGCATGCTTTCTGCAGATGTTGCAGGAATCGTGAACTCTTGTCACTGTGTTTCTGTGCACACGCTCTTTGGCTAACTTCTTTTTGACCCCTTGGGCCGCAGGTCGAGGGGCCGCCGGGTCACCCAGGTGGTCCGGGACTTCCTGCACGCCCAGAAGGTGCAGCCGCCCGTGGAGCTGTTCGTGGACTGGCTGGCGGTCGGCCACGTGGATGAGTTTCTGAGCTTCGTCCCTGCCGCTGACGGGAAAGTGAGGACGCGGGGGACAGCGCTGGGCCCAGGGCTGAGCTGAGCAGAGGCGGGGGGCTCAGCTGAGTCTCTTCTCTGCACGCAGGGCTTCCGGATGCTCCTGGCCAGCCCCAGCGCCTGCTTCAAGCTCTTCCAGGAAAAGCAGAAGTGGGGCCACGGGGGCGCCCTCCTGTTCCAAGGGGTTGTCGGTGGGTACTGTGCCCCTCGTCACCACTTTGCTATTCCCCGCTTGCCACATCACCGCTTGACAGAGGAGTGTCCTGCTGTAAGGCAGCCCTGTCCCCCCGAGTCTGAGACCCCTTGGCGCAGCAGGCCCCACTGTTCAGGGGAGCAGAGCTGGCCGGGAGCGCCACGGTGGATGACGGGGGGTGGTCACGGGCACAGTGGAGATGCGGCCAGCTCTGGGGGCACGTGACCAGCACAGTCATACAGGCTCCTCTGCGCCGAAGGGCCTAGCACTTCGGATCCGATGCTCTGCCCCTCGCTGTCTTGATAATCTGAGTAATTTGCGTTTTGCTGATTGATCAGTGGAACATCTATTGGGAGCTTGGAGCCCGGGCTGAGGAACAGTCCTACCCTGGACCAAACCTCCCTCCAAGAGGAAAGCCTTCACAGAACTTAAACGCTCCCAAGTGTAACTTCCCACATCTATTTCCCACCCCTCTGGAGCCCCAGCTGTAAAATGGAAGAAATACAGTTTCTCCCAACCCCCTCTCCCATCCGGACTGTGAACAGACTTCTTGAGCTCCAATCAAACCTGAAAAATTCTCAAATCCAAATTTCATGTACCAGCCAGAGGGAAAGCCATCTTCACCTTCCTTCCTTAGAAGGAGCGGTTTGCAGTGAGCAGGGCCCCGAGAGACGCGGAGCCAAGCAGTGAGGGAAATTCACGGCTGTCGGGCCACATGTAACCACCGGGTGGCCCCAGAGAGCTGGTACCAGCACAGCGGCCACCGAGACCCAAAGCCTCAGCGGTCATGCCCCGTGCTGGGCCCAGGCTGCGTGCTCCAGCACCTGCTCCCATCTGACCTCAGGAGAGCCTGTGAGGATGACACAGTCTACTTCACGCCCAAGAATGTGGGGCTCAGAGAGGGGAAGTGGCTGGCCCAGCGGCCTCGGTGGGGATGCTGTGGAGCTGCGTCTCTACTCCGAGGGGGGCTGGGGGAACCGAGCCTGCACCTGGGCAGGTGGGACCAGCCTTTGGTCGAGGCTTCAGCCCTTCATGAGCACTTGGCTTGGGTCTGAATCATCAGTACCCCCATTTCCCAGCTGCAAAGCCTGGGGCAAATCTTTTTGCCTCTCTGAGCCTCAGTTTCCTCATCTTTAAAGTGGGGGTGTTAATGCATGCCTTGTGGGGTTGCTGTGAGGACTAAATTAGGTGTCGAGTGTAGAGTCCTGGACTCAGGGCCTGTGCAGGGTGAGAGATTAAGCAATGGCAGCTGTGAGGGTCACAAGACATTGGCTGTGACCTCCCTCGTCCTGCCCGTCTCCACGGGCACGTCAGGCCGGCAGGAGAGCTGGGCCTGGGGGGAGCCCCTTTGCTCTCCGGTTGCCTCTTGGGAGGCCAGGGACAGGGTTCAGCGGTGTCCGTCAGGACGGGTCCTGGTGGGCAGGTGGGTGACCCAGCTCCCCGCCCGACCCCTAGCCAAAAAAAGAGCAGTCATCATCCAGTGCCCGGTGCAGGTGGGGGTCACATCTCCAATAAGGAGCATCACCACTCTGACGTGCTCGGACGAAGGCCTCACGTTCAGGCGCTGCAGCTGCCCGCCCCTGCCGTCCTCACACACCCAGGCTTGCTCAGAGGCCAGGCGGAAACGCCAGGGAGCTGCCGGCTCACGAGACTGGTCTCTGCTGGCTGCTCCCCAGAGCAGGTGGCCTCTCTGCTGGGGCTGCTCCCACCCTGCCCCTCTTTCTGTCCTTCACAGGCAACCAGCAGGTCGACACTGTCTCCATCAGCCAGGTTCTCTCCAACGAAAACCTCATCAGCTACAATAAGTTTGTGCAGGTATGAGGGCCGTGGGCCGCGCGTGGGGGTAGGCGTGGCTGGGGCGGGGTTGTGCAGAGAGGTCTGAGGCTCACGGTCCAGGGCAGCTCAGGGTGGGTGGGGGACGGGGAGGGCGACAGGCCCAGACAGAGAGTCTCTAAATCCCGGCTTTCACTCGAGAGAAATGAGGGGTCAAGCCAGGTACACGCGAGGACAAGCATTCCAGGCAGAGGGAACAGCACAGACAATGGCCCTGAGGTGGAATGAGGAGGCCTGGAGCGTTTAAGGACGAACCTGGGGGCCCAATAGAAATGAGAAGACGGGGGGCCACCCAGGGCCCCGCAGGGCAGCGCTGGGGCTTTGGCTGTGACTCTGGGTGTGACTGGAGGCTGTCTGGGGATCTGAGCGCAGGGTAGACTTGGTCTGACTTACACTTTGAAATGATCTCTCTGCTGCTGGGCTGAGAGTCTGTCTTCTTTTATGGCAAGGGGCCGGGGTAGTGACAGTAGGTCCCAGCAGGAAGCAAGGGCACTTCAGGTGGATACCAGAGAGCGGTTCAGTAAAGGGGATGTTTGCAAAGGCACAGGGTGGGCTTGAGGAAATCAACAAGGGCCTATTCCACATCCCCAGGGTAGGAAGAGGGGAGCTCTCCCCTCCCCCAGGTCTGGAGGAATTGGCCGAGGAGCATGTTACTGAAACCTGGAGGGGTCGCTCCAAACACGGCCACAGTGTTGTCATTAGCCTCCAATTAAATAAATAAATTAAAAGAAAAAAAAGAGGTTGTAAGACGGGAGCTGGGACTGCACAGCCAACCTGCCGTGACCCCAAACACTCTCCCAGCAGCGCCCCCACCTTCTGCCACCGCCCCCACGGGCTCAGCCCAGCGGGAAGCCTGTGGGTTCAGGGGCCCGTGGTTCCCAAGGGTCAGCCACCCAGCACGCAGCGCGGGGAAGAAGGGGGACAGGGGTGCAGAAGAACAGACAATATCCAGCGCAGGGCCCTCCGAGAAGCGCACGCCGGGATGGGGGTGACCCTCGCAGAGACTGAATTAGGGAGCATGCCTGCGGGAGTGGAGGAGGCCGGGCGAGCTGGCCCTGGGGGCAGGGGCAGGCAGGACAGGCGGGTCCCTGAAGCCCCGCAGCCCGGGTCAGGCTCAGCAAAGCGGGGCGGGGCAGGTGGAGGGGGTCGGATCAGGCATGTTTTGCAAGTAAATGGAAGAGCCTCGGGACTCGCTGACGAAGGCAGAGTGAGAGGACAGGCGTCAAGAATGACTGCAGGGTTTTCTTTTTCACTGGAGTGTGCGGTCTGCACGCTCCGTCACTTCAGCAGTGTCTGACCCTTTGCGACCCCGTGGATCATAGCCCGCCAGGCTCCTCTGTCCATGGGATTCTCCAGGCAAGAACACTGGGATGGGTTGCCATGCCCTCCAGGGGAATCTTCCCGCCCCAGGGATGGAACCCACCTCTCCTGCATCTCATGCGTTGGGGGCGGACACTTCTTTACCCACGGAGTCACCTGGGAGCCTGACTGCTTTATGATGGTGTGTTAGCGTCTGCTCTACAAGGAAGTGGGTCAGCTGATTAACACTGCCCCCCGCCCTCCCGCACCCCCACCCCGCCCTCCAGAGTCATCACAGGGCCCCTAGCTCAGCTCTCCGTGCTGTAGGCAAGCTCCCGCTAGCTGTGTGTGGGCGCGGGTACTTGTCAGTGCCTTTGTCTGAGCAGCGATGATTCCAGAGCTGAGGATGCGGTAGGGAGGGCGTGGAGGGGTGGGTAGAGATGAAAGCTTGTCTTTGGACTCCTCACGTCTGATGTGCCCGTCAGACATCCCGGTGGAGATGCGCAGGGCTGGTTGTGTCTGCACGTCTGAGCTGAGGGCAAGCGTCGGGCTTTGTGAAGGTTCCCGTGTGGGTGCTCAGTCATCTCCAGCTCTTTGCCGCCCTGTGGACTGAAGCCGCCAGGCTCCTCCGTCCATGGCTCAGGGGCTGGGATGTAGAAATGTGGGAGCTGGCGGGGTCTGGTGCTTTAAACCATAAGACTGAAGGAGATCCCGGAAGGGTGAGGCTCTATCTAGAGAAGGGAGCGGGTGGACGGAGCACCCTGAGCCACGCTCTCGTGGGCCCTGCCAGGGGGTGAGGCTGCGGCGGGGGGACCCGAGCAGGCATGTTTCAATGAAGGCGCACAAGAGGAGGTTCGTGTGGAGGGCCGACCTGTGGGCACTTGGGCATCTTGTCCTTCCTTAAGCAGACGTGCCCCTTGGGGTGCCCCCCTCCCGGCACCGGCCAGGCCTCCCTGACTCCCCCTCCCTCCCGCGCCCCCAGAGCTGCATCGACTGGAACCGGGAAGTGCTGAAGCGGGAGCTGGGCCTGGCCGAGCGCGACGTCGTGGACATCCCGCAGCTGTTCAAGATGGAGAGGAGGAAGGCCGTGGCCTTCTTCCCAGACTTGGTGAGGCCGTCAGCCAGGACTTAGGGTTTTGTCAGATTCGGCGCCAAGCCCCCCCTCCCCCGGGGGCCAAACGCCTGCGGCAGTTGTGTTTGGGGTTGAGGGGGCCAGGGCTGGGGGCAGGGAGACTCCGAGGTCCCACGATCCCAGCAGAAGGACCTCTTCTTGACCGGTTGTCACAGTCACTACGAAATGCTCACTGGCCAAGCCTGCACTCTGGGCCCATCAGTCAAGGGCCCTCCTCTCCTCCCAGGGACTCACTCGGTGTTTGTGGAGTGAGCGAAAGATTGCATGGGGCTGGGCGCGTGGCATCCACTGGAAGGCCAGAACCCCTGCTGCTCCCTTTCCCCAGCTCCCGGACGCTCACCCAGCCCTGCACATTTAAGGTTCCCGTGTGAGAGGCAGAGATGCCTCTGGCTGCTCCCTGCTCCCACGGAGCTGCCAGTCAAACCTGGTCGGGGAGAAACTCGCTTCACCTCTCTGAGGGTTTGTCCCAAAGATCTACTTTGTGTGGTCGAGTGATGTGCCAGTTCAGAGGTGAAGCGAAGCACTTCCAGCCTGAGAGGCAGGACTGGAGACCCAAGAGGGCTCTGTGGAAGAAGCGGCCTTTGATTGAGCACTGGGGCTTTGCCTCGGGTGTCTCTGAAACTTGAACTTGCATCTGGAACACTGGGTCGTCGGGGCCCCACCCCAGCGGTTCTGACCCCTCAGGGGCCTGAGACTCGCTGCCTTTCTAACAGCGAACCCCCGGGCGCTCTCTGAGGCCCACCCCTCGAGCAGCGCAGCGGGCAGTCAGCCAGCTCCCTCCTGCCCCTTTCCCCTCCCCCTGTGCACCCTCCCCACCTCCATCCCTGGGAGGAACCAGACTCGCCCATCGTCAGTGACTTGCGGGCAGCCTGTCCACACCACGCTTGCTTCATCCCTCCTTTTCCTTCCCCGTTCTGCCTTTTTGCCCTCTTTGATTTCCCCACTTGCAAAGCCTCTCATTACTCCCTTTCCTTCCTGCGTCTCCAGGGAGGCCTTGCCATGAGGTCCGTGCCCCCAGAAGCTTCTGCAGTGCTCCAGATTCTTGTGTTTGTAGGAGACAGAAGACCACCGAAGCGGATTTCAACCAGAGCCGAAGATTTAGCATAAGGCTGATGCAGGGGTGGCCGCCGTGGGGGGCATTAGGAGGGGCTGGAACCAGCTCCTGTTTCCACGTCTACATCGCTCATCCCTCCCCTTCCTCCTAGCCTCCTCTTTTGCTTGGCTTCCCTATCTTCTCTGTCCCTGGGGATGAACGTTAATATGGCCCCAGAGAAGTGCAGACACAGGGAGAGAGACTCTGCTCTCCCACCGTGGTGACGGCACCGCCCGAGGAGGGAATCTGATTGGTCTAGCTTGGGTCACACACCTACCCTGGTCCCCTCGACTGTAGCCTGGGAGTTCTGGATTCTGTAGCACAGACCTGGCAGCTGCCACAGCCTGCCCACAAGGGGGGCAGCCCCCAGGGAGAGACGTCGTCATTGTGAGCTCTGCACGGGCACAGCTGGTTAGAGCTCTTGCCAGACCACGTCCCTCCCTCGCTGCCTGGAGCGGCGAGTGGCTGTTTGCAAGGCTGCTTCAAAGACAACACCAGGTCCCGCTGAGCATAGAGAAGGTGCTGGGCTGGGAGCCGATGCCGCCCCTGACCTGGGCACCCCCTCTGAGCATAGCGAAGGTGCTGGGCTGGGAGCTGATGCTGCCCCTGACCTGGGCGCCCCCTCTGAGCATAGAGAAGGTGCTGGGGTGGGAGCTGATGCTGCCCCTGACCTGGGTGCCCCCTTCTTTGCAGGTGAACATGCTGGTGCTGGGCAAGCACCTGGGCATCCCCAAGCCCTTCGGGCCCGTCATCAACGGGCGCTGCTGCCTGGAGGAGAAGGTGCGGTCCCTGCTGGAGCCGCTGGGCCTGCACTGCACCTTCATCGACGACTTCACCCCATACCACATGCTGCACGGGGAGGTGCACTGCGGCACCAACGTGCGCCGGCAGCCCTTCTCCTTCAAGTGGTGGCACATGGAGCCCTGAGCCGCCCGCCACCACCCTTTACCCCCCGGGGTGGGCTGTCCGCCTGGGTGATGGAGGCCGAAACAGGCCCCTGAACAATAAGTGTCAAGAGACCCCAAGGTTACGGATGGAGCTCCCGCTCGGAAGCCTTTGCCTCCAAGTGTTCAAACGCCTTGCCTGCTGCCCATGAGGTTCTCAGACTTGACCCCCTTGGCTCCCCAAGAAGGACCTCGTTTCTTGTGGTCTGTTTTGCAGATCAGCATGACCTATGGGGACTCCTCCAAACAACCCCCTCTCCACCCCCAAATCCTCTGTGTGGAGCCTAATACCCTCTGGAGTCTAAGAAACATCCACACCTTTCCTCTGCCTGCTGGGCCTGTGTGTCCTAAGGCAGGAAGGACCCACTATCCTGCTTTGGTCTGATTGCTTCTCACTCTGCAGGGGAGCTCATTTCCTAAAGTCACAGGACAGGAGAGATTTAGCCCAGAGCTTCACCCACAGTGAAGGAGCAGAGGTCTGTTTAGATTGAGGTGGGACCAGCATTCCAACTCCCAAGCCTCTGACCAGCTGTTGAAATCTCCCTTGCCCAGCGCCCAGCATAGTACGTGCTTCTAGATGTGTGTTGAAGCGACATTAGCCACACCTTACTTAGCCTGAGAAACATCTCATCATCTGACCTTTAGAAATTGGGTTTGGTTCTAAATCCTGGAATTTCTTGGAGATGACAATATCTGGGGAATTCCTGGAGATTGGGAAGATTGGGTGCAAGGGTGGAAAATGTCCTTCATAAGACATAAGATGCCTTAGTGGCCCTGGGCCTCTCTGCAGGAGGGGAGACCCCTGGTAGCATCAGTCCTGGGCTTTCTGTTGACCCCAGGTCAACGATCCACATCTTGCTTTGCCTCAGGAGAGGAGGCCTGGTGGAGCCAAACCCCCGAGACCACTCAGGACAGGAGGGCTCTGGGGATGGACCAATCTGAGCTCAGGTGGGCAGGGAAGGAGGTGGCATGGCTTTCTCCAGGTGTCTGTCAGTTCCATGGGTGCTCTGTGTGGGTCCAGCTGTGCTTCTATCACTGGCTAATAAATCAAGAGAAACACAAACAGCGTGAATCTAAATAGCGTGGCTCCCTCTAGACAGCAGGAGCAGAGAACTTTCTTGCAGCTGAAGCATCTGCTTGCCTAGGCCTCCAGGAATTTGAGGCTGAGAAGCCCAAATTTTGGTTAAGACTGTGAGGTTGTTCCATCTTGGCCACGGGACTCATCCCATGGGTCACCACGGCCAGTTGCAATGATACGATGTGTAAATGCAAGCGCAGGGCTCAAATGCCAGGCTGCCAGGACCTGGTGAACACGGCCGGGCGAGGGTCTGGGCTGTGGCCGGAAAGTTGCATTGTGAGTGTGGCAATGGGAAGCCGGGGTGTGGACCTTGGGGTAGCTTGCGTGTGCCCTGAGTGGCGCCCTCCTTCCTGTCTGCGGGGAGGCCGTGACCACCCGTAAAGGCCCTGCGGGCTTGCTCTGGAGCCCCCGGAGGTTGCTCCCTGGGCTCCTCCCTGCCCACCCCTGTGTTCTCTCTGGAGATGCAAGACTCAGAGCAACTCCCTCAGCCCCAGGGCTGGGTGGTTTCCGGGTGGTTAGAGAAGATCCCACAGCCTCCCCCCGCCCCGCATCCCCTCCTGGCCACCGTCTTACCTAGAATCTCTGGAACAGACTCCCACCGTCCCTCGTGTGACCGGATTCTGACAGAATAAGCCCACTTCCAAGGCAAGCTGAGCTCAACAAGGGTGTTGAGAAAACTGTGTTTTTTGAAAGAATTTCAGTGGAGGTACATGCCTCCAGAAAGCACATGCCTAGAATCAGAACTCAGGTGGGTTTCCAAACAGGCGTTCTCGCCCTGAATGCCCCCAGACTGGCCACGAGGTCCTGTTTGTGAGGCCGCAGGTGGACCCAGCAGCAAGTCTGAGACCCTTCTCGTGGTTCAAGCGTGACACCTGTGCCCCCGGAAGGCTCCTGCAGCCCAGGAACCTCGCCTCAAAGGCAGAGGAAGCAAACTCAATCCTTGCTTGGGTCCCTGCGGACACCATTCACCTGTCCACACAGCAACAGCATAGCCAGTGCATGCGTTTCCTCTCTGTTGTAGCAAATTGCCGCAAGCTCAGTGGCTTAAAACAAAGCAGATTTATAATCTTAAAGTTCTGGAGGTCAGAAATCTGGAAAGCGTTGTTTCTTCAGGCAGCCCTAGCGGAGAATCTCTTATGTTTCCCAGCTTCCAGGGGCCCCCAGCACTCCTTGGCTTGCGACCCCTTCCTCCAGGTTCAGAGCCTGTGTCGTAGCATCACGTATTCCCCCAACTCTTCTGCCCTCTTCCACTCTCTGGGACCCTTGTGATCGGGCCCAGCTGGACAAGCCAGGATCCTCCACGGTCTCTGGGTCGCTGATTCACGACCTTAGTTCCGTCTGCAGCCTTGATTCCCCTTTGCCATGTAAGGTAATGTGTTCATAGGTTCTGGGAGTTCAGACGTGGACCCCCTTGGGGGGCAACCACAACCAGACTGGCCCTTCTGATCTCCACAATCTGGACCACAGTTGCCCCCTCCGAAATCCAGCTTGGCCCCTTGACAGGTGTCACGGAGTCGGCAGGAGAGAGATGCTGTCCATAAACTTCCTCCAGGACTTGCGTTCAGTCCTGACTCAACACCAGCCTGAGACCTGGGGTCCAAGGGATGCAGGCTGAGTGGCTCCTAAGAGCACCGCAGGCTGCCTCATCAAGCCTAGAGCGAGAGTCCCCTCCACCATCACCACCCCAGACGGCAGCCTGCAGTACCCTGTTTGGCCCCTGGAAACCTCCGGGGAGACCAGAGCAAGGCCTGGGTTCTTGTGGAGCAGCTCCTTCCCCTCCCCCCCCCCCCATATTGTGGCTCCTTCCACCCGGGGCCAGCTCGACCCTGGGGCGTGGGGACAGAGGTCCCAAGGGAGCCTGAAGGCTTGACTGGGCCAGCCATCATATCCTAGCGAAAGCTGGTTCAAAACCTGTTACCTCCTCATTTGCTCATTCTAAAAATATTCAACGTGCATGAACTATTTGCCAGAGATAATCTCTACCCTCAGGAGTTCGTATCTAGGGAGACAGCGTGAAAAGAAGCACAAATAACTGGAAATTGTAATGAGAGCCATAAAGTGGAGGCATAACGGGGAGGCGACCTGCTTTGGCGGGATAGCCGGCACCACCCAGAGGGGGTGCTGTTTGAGCTGACCCTGGAGGGTGGCCTGGAGCGGTGGGTGAGTGGGGGAGCCAGCTTCCGGGCGTTGGGAAGGGCGAGCGGAGGCCTGGAGGTGGGGAGCGCCCACAGCCCCGGCAGGGTGGCGAGCTGGGCGGCAGAGGCTGCGGACGGAGGGGACTCGCTGCGCCCAGTCTGAAGCGTCCTGCCCCTCTCCGCTCCCCCCAGGGCCTGACTCAGGGCACGCTGCCCACACACCCCGCACACCTCAGCCCGGGACCAAGCGTCACGCGTGGCGGAAGGGCCACGTGCCCCAGAGTCGGATGACCCGATGCTGAACTGGCCCTTCTCAGCGTGTGCTTTACGTCTCTGAGTCTCCGTTTCGTCCTCTGCAAGTGGGCATGAAGCTGTGTCTGCCTCACAGAGCCTGCGTGGGCTTATATGAGGAGCTACATGTGCCCGGCATGTAGTACCTGGTAAATGATGGCTTACATGACATGCCCAGACCCTGCCCACGTGACCGCTCTGTATCTATACTCCCAATGTCTGCGATCTAATAGAGGACAGAGACCCTCTGAGACCCGGAGTCAGATTTGGGAGGGAGGAAGGGAAGGCTGTCCTGCCAACTCTCAGGTCACAGCCTGCTGGACTCAGCAGCCTGAGGTTGACCCGGGGGAGGCTCCCGTCCAGACAGGAGGGAGAGCCTGTCTTTCTCGTATGGACTGACAGCTCGGGCGGCCCTGGGCCCGCCTGACTCACTCTGCGTTCAGAATCAGGAACGAGTAACTGCGGGGCCCGGCAGGAGGTTGCCCAACGCTGTGGTCTCCTGCCCCTTCCCCCACAGCCCTGCAGGACAGGCGCATCGGGCGGGATGGCCGAGGCTCCAGGGGAGGGTGGCTGGAGAGGAATTCTGGATGACCGGACAGAGTCCACGGAGCTGTCCTTTCCTACAAGGTCACCATCATCCCCACCCCCTACGGCAGGGTGATGGTGAGCGTGGGCTGTGCTGGGCGTGTGCCAGGCTCCTTACACGCATCATCTCGTCTGCTCTTCATGACAGGCTAGCATGAAGTTGCAATTATTAGCCTCACTTTATAGACAAGGACACTGAGGCACGAGTGACGAAACCTGCCCGGGTCATGGAGCTGTGAAGTGGCGGAGACAAGTCCGAGCCTGGACGGGTGACCTCCGTAACCTGGTTCCTAACCAGCCATTCTCGTGGTTCTCAAATTGGAATCACCTGGAAGGCTTTCAAAACCTGGCAGAGTCTTCCTCCCCCTTGGAGACTCCGTCTGGAGGTTGGGGTGTTGCCAAGAGCAGCCCAAAGATGCTGCCCCGCAGCCAGGATGGAGAGTCGGCAACCCCCACCACACCGTCCTCCTGGGCATCTCTGCCCCTCCCCTCATCTGCAGCCAGCAGTCTCGGGGGCGGGGGGGGGGCATGGCCTCCTCTGGGCCTTCTTGGTGGGTCAGAAGTAAAGAATCCACCTGCAATGCAGGAGACCCAGGTTCAATCTCTGGGTCAGGGAGATCCCCTGGAGGAGGGCATGGCAACCCATTCCAGTGTTCTTGCCTAGAGAATCCCAAGGACAGAGGAGCCTGGCAGGCTACAGTCCATGGGGTCGCACAGAGCTGGACACGACTGAAGCGACTTAGCACGCACTGCTTCCTTTTATGGCAGTCACCTGGACTGAGATGGCATCTCCAATAACCAGACAGCTGCTGCATTCAAATTTTCTTGCTGGGCCAGAGGTTCTTAAACAAACTGCACAAGATTTCCTGGAAGAGTCATTAAAATTACAGATTCCTGGGCCACCGACCCCTCCAGCCAGGCCTCCCGAGACCAAACCTCTCGGCCTCGGCATCCGTATATTATGAAGCTTCCCAGACAGTCCTGATACACACCCGGGTCACTGGAGTTCATCCCTTTTCACTGCCGTGTAGTTTTCTTTCTGTGAAGGAGATTTTTCTGCCAGTGTGTCTCAGATTCTTCCCATGTTTCCTTAACAAACAGCGTGACTGACCATTCTTGGAGCTGTTTCCTGGTGTACGCATTCGTAAGTCTGTCTAGAAAGCGTATCTAGAAGGTGTTTAGCTTTACTAAGTACACCAAGAATGGTGACGCCAGGGAGAGAAAAGGAGCAGGGGTGGTTGGGAGTGAGGGTGGGTGCAGGCAGGCCGGCTGCTCTAACAGAGAGACTGCCAAGTGTGTGATGGCTCAGACGCCACATGCGCTTCCTTCCTGCTCCGGCCAACAGGCCCAGGCGCTTCGGGTCCCAGTGGCGAGTACACGCCTGGGGGCAGCGGGGGACTCTGCTCCACGCCGCCACCCAGGGGCCCAGGCTGACGGAGGCTCTGCCAGCTTCAGTCTGGGCCCTGACCGCGAGCCCCCAGAGAAGAGAGAGGCTGGAGAATCACGCCCACGCTGAACCACCGGGGCCCGCGTCACCCCTGCCCCAGGTCCAGTGGTGAGGACTCGGCAGTGCGCGGTGCAGGGGACGCTAGGAAGGGTGGCCGCTGCCTGGGCAACCGCCTGCAGTACCGGGTCCACGTCACAGACCAGGGGAGGGCTTCCCTGTTGGCCTCTAGCCGCCCTGAACCCGGAGGAGAAGGAGGCTGGGCCAGGAGAGAAACCTGGTTCACAGAGGGAGCCTGCTGGGGCCCTGCCATCTGTCTCGGCTCTAATCACCTCGTGTCCTCCCTTCGGGATGCAGACGAGTCTTCCTCTGCGGCGCCCCAACGGCGCAGGCCCACCCCACTCCTCTCTGCCCCTCACCCCCCAGCCGCATCCACACCGTGGTCCTGGGTCCTGCCTGCCGAGCGAGGGCCCCTGAGAGTGGGATCTCCTGGGGAGAGATGAGAGTCAAGGGTCTCTGCAA